CCATCTCCCACAGCCTCTTTCCCACGTTGCCTCCCACGCCCCCTCCCTCCCATCGGGCTGGCGCCTGGCCCGGTGCCTCCTCCGTGACCGCCTGCTCCTTGAGGAAGAGAGCTTCATGCTCCTGGGCCGACCACACCGACGCCTGCTCGAGGCTGTGCAGGGGGAGATCCGTCGGCTTGAAGCCTTGGCCCGAAGCCCGTCACCTGCATCCACGACTGCGTCTTGTCCCGCGGCTCACCTGCCGACAAGCGCGGCCGCCGACTGTGGCGAAAATGCTGGAGCTGCTTCAGGCTGGGCTAACAAGGAGGAGACTGGGCGTGGCAGGATAAGCGTCGCTTCGGCCCCGGCCTCTGCCCCTTCATCTCTTTCCTACTCCCCCTCCTCATTTCCATCCCCCCGCCAAGACCGCGATCGACCCGAGGGCGTACTTCCCCGCAGCCCCATGGAGCAGGAACTCTGTAATTTAGATGCCAGGGCGTCCCTGGAGAATGCCATGCATTTGTGGGCGCGTTTAGAAACGGTAGTGTCCAACACGATCTTTTTAGAAGGAGGAATGGAAAGAGATTTTCAAAGAATGGATAAGGCGAGTGCGGAGGGGCCTCGACCGGAGACGGAAGGGGGGGAGGAGTGAGGAAGTTGGCTGTTTCGGACTGTGACGCGGGAAGCCGCTGAGTGAAAACCTTGTAAAAATATAAAAACAAGTGCAGCTATTGGTGTACCACACCTGCCAGCGTCTCACCGGGTGCGTGTCACGCGTGTGCTTCCCTTTAACCCCGCCGTGAAGTCGCCGTGAGCATGGGCCGCATCGCCCACGACCTGCGACACGCGATCTTGTATGCCGCCCTCGGTGCAGGTGCACGTTTTCCTAGATTTCTTGCCGAGTCCTTGGGGCTAGTAGCACCATTTCCGGACGCCTGCACGTGGAAGGAGATGCAATGTCTGATGCCCGACACTGGCACCCGTGTCATCATCCCTTCAATTTGCCAGACAGGGAGTGGGATCAGAGCCGCCTTTCTCACGGAACACATACGACCTCGGGCAGAATGCTGAACCGCTTCCCCCGCCTGGGACGAGGCGTCCACAATGCCCTTTGCACCGTTTCCGCCACGAATGCGCGGCCTTACTACGTTCTCTCCACCACCCATCCTGCGGCTGCCTCCAAACTTTCTGGTAATGTGCCGGCGCAAGGCTTCGCATCGGCCGAGGTGCGTGGGAAGAAGTGAGACAGGATCTGTCCGACCCCGACCATCTACGACCTCACCCCTCCCCCTGAACCCTCCCTCATCTTGCCGCTCCGCGCATATCTTTCAGTCCTCCACGCCGCATTTCGACGATGTCCCGCCCGTCACCTTCGAGGACGTGTCCACGGCTATGTTCCGCATCCGTAACGGCATTCTTCGCACGCCCTGCTACAAGGTAGGAGGAGATGCCCAAGCGAGCCCTCCATGCCATGCTACCGCCTGCCGTTTCAACACTTTCCGGACACTATTCAGCAGACGCATTACGCTCCGTGGTTGGGGTTTCCATTCATTTCTCTCTTCTTCTCTCTTCTGCCGATTTTCGGCTTTTCCTTCCCTTCCCCCTTAGTCGCATTTCCTCTCGGACATCTGCAACACGAATTTATACGTGAAGACGGAGTTCTCCCAGTTCACGGGCTCCTTCAAAGAACGAGGAGCCAGAAACGCCCTCCTCCTTCTTACCGAGGAAGAAGTACGTGGTCCCTCTCCCTCTCCCTCCCTCCCCTCCTCCTTGTTCCGCCTCTCCTCACACCCCCTCGGGCATTTCCCCCAACCGTCCCCTCAGAAAAAGCGGGGCGTGATGGCGGCCTCGGCGGGCAACCACGCCCTCGCCCTCTCCTGGCACGGGGCACAGCTCGGCATCCCCGTCTCCGTCTTCATGCCCGTGGTCGCCCCCCTCGCCAAGGTTGACAAATGCCGGAAATTTGGCGCGAACGTGATCATCACCGGCCAGCACATCGGGGAGGCGAAGGTCGGTCCCCGCCAGCCCCCACCGAGGTGGTCCCATTACTACTTGTAGTCACCTTAA